CCTGAGTCAAGAACCTTCCTCTTTGATCGTGCATTCAGTCACCTTCCTACCCCTACTCTACCCACCCTCCACCCCTACTGATCCCAACCACCAGCTCAGGTGCGGATCCCTGACTGTCCTGCATCCTCCTGAAGTGAAAGGAGCTATACAAATGTAATTTGTTGTTGTTGTCATTTCATACGGTGCAGGGTGGGTGGCATCAAACCCATCAGTAGTTCTATCTCTCTATCTGACCTGCTTGGGAGTGCAGTTGGCAGGGGATCTCAATGGAAAGTTGATTCACTGTACTGAATTGTGGGAGTCTGTGAATTCATTCCAACAGAGTGCCACAAGGAGAGCCCTTAACCTAGATACAAAATATTGTATTGTAAAGTAGGAATATGTGTATTAAAAACAGCTTCAGAGAGTATCTTCGCTGCATTCTGTCAGAATGGATGATTGGGTCAGAGAGAGACTAGCAGACTTCTACATGAAACTCACGCTGCAGATAGGTTTTGTGAAGTCAGTCTGTGTGGAGGCGGAGTGGTTGTTGCTGTACTTGTTGCTTCACAGGTCAAGGCAGTGGCTAACGTAACCCTTAGAGTGCTGCAGTTTCCTTTTATCTGTGAAGCTCTGCAGTGCATATGATCACGCAATCTTACGTTATGGGACCATGCCTGTGACTTCAATTGGATGACAGTCAACCCAGAAAGGACATCTCCCTGTTGATATTTTAGATATATTTCTAAAAATCTGGATATGTATAATGGTAATACTTACGTTTTTGCAGGGGAGAAAAATTTAAATTTGTGACTTTGGAGGAAAATAATTCACACATTTCCATGCATCTCAGCTTGTGTAGGCTGTTGCTATTTGTGGGTCTGCCTCTGTCATTTCTCTCTCTGTTTAAAACCAGTGAAGTCATGTTGTGTCTGAGCATTCAGCTGTAATCAGACTCCTTTGCACAATCTCTTTCCCTTGGAGATGGGATGGATCTGTTTAGAGGTGAAAGCTCATAAACAAGAGTGACCCTTGTTTATAAGATGTCCCTTGCAGTTTGTATCTGATTTGTCTTCTGCTGAATTCCTATCATAGTTATAGTTTTGAAGATGATCATTTTATCATTAAAAAAGTAAATACTTATTTTTTGGAAGTATTTTGGAAGAATTGTTTATTTTGCTTAAGTAGCTACTGAGTGATTTTGAGATACAAATTTACCTATTCTGTGAAGACATTTCAGAGTTAAAGCTGCCCTCTCCCAGTAAACTATGAGTAAGCTAATTCCCTGCCTTACGTATCAATTCCTAAAACCATCTGGCATTTAAGATTGATGTGAACAATGAACAAATCTCCTCCTCGGTAGAGTTTATAACCTTGATATAATTTACTTGGTGCATGATTGACTGGGAGATGTGCTGCTACTGCTATATAAAATGACCATAAACATAGGAAGTCATTGCTCCCTCACTGGTTTAAATTGTTTCACAATTCATTAAGATTATGAAATAGAGCATTGAATTTGAAGCCTGTTTTGGGGGTAAAGATTAACAACAGCCAGAATCCACAATAAATGGGCACCTATTTTCATATGTCATCAGTAATGGTTTTGGTCACAAAAGCGCTTTGAGATGTCTCGAAGACATGATAAGGTGCTATATCACACGCAAGTCTTATTATTATTATTATTATTAATGTGAATGCTTTTGACAAACTTGTAAACTGAATGCACAACCTCCAAATGTGGAGCGGAGGGCGTGAGGGAGAAGCAGGAGGCCGGTGCCAGTCAAGCAAAGGCGCTGGGTGATGGATTGGGGTGTGAGGTCAGAGAGGCAGGGAAGTGCCAGGGAATTAAGGGATTTGAACACGAGTGGGAGGATCTTGAAGTCGATACGTTCGGTGATGGGGAGCCAGTGGAGCCTGGCCAGAAATGGTGAGATCGGGGTATGGAGTTTGGTCCAGGTCAGTATGTGGGCAGCAGAGTTCTGAATGAGTTGGATTTTTTGAATAGTGGAGCTGGGGAGGCCGGTGAGGTCCCTATTAGTACATAGGAATCCTGTAGCTCAGTGGTTAAAGCACTCGCTTTGCAAGCGAGAGATCTGGGTTTGATTGTGGTCAGGGCAAACCTTGGGCAAGTTTCCTTACTTCACACGCCTGATAATAATCCCTCAAGAAAAAAAAACAATAATAAATTGGTCACTTCAATCCATGACTGTTTGTGGGACACTGCTGTGCGCAATTGACTGCCGCGTTTCGCCCACAAATATACAGTCAATTAACTTTACAGTATATTCTGTGAAGTGCTTTGAGACGTCCAGAAGACGTGAAAAGCGCTACATCAAACGCAAGGATAATATTATTTAAAAACTCTTGGGCCTCAGAGCTTGGGAGTTAGAATTGGGAGTTCCCAGAGAGTACCCTCGCTCCGACAAAAATAATCCGAACGCGGGGGGGGGGGGAAATGACTGAATTTTGATTGGAAATTTTTTTTGACTGGGGAAAGAATGTTTTGACACCCCCCCAAAAAAGAGTTGACATTGAGCATTTGGAAAGGCGATCAACGTGAGCCATTTAAATCCACAAACGAATCATTGCCAGGGGAGGGACCCTGGGTCGTGCTTCCTTGTAGTGTGTAACCACTGCTTAACGTGGTGTGTGTGTGTATGCAACACAGTAGTAGAGGGCAGATCACACTGCAGCAAGCAGCATGTGAAGTTTGTACTGCATTACAAACTGATGTCATTGCTCACCAATCAGAATTGCCTGAGTGAGAGAGAGAGAGAGAGAGAGAGCAGAGAGAGAGAGAGAGATGCTCTCAGGGAAGGAGGCAGCACACAGCCTGTCATTTAAAGTCTGCTTCCTGCACCACCTCTCGCTCTTCACAGAGGAGGCTCCAGCCCAGATACGTTTAAAGGGGAGGTCCTAGCCCTCAGACTGTTTAAAGGGGAGGCTTCAAAGGCACAGGCTCTTGTTGAAAAAACTTTTTCTCTCTCTCTCTCTCTCTTTCTAGCCTAGGCCCTGTTTGCAAGAGCAGTTTTCGAACTCGCGCACCAAATTAAAAAAAAGGTTGGGGGGGGGGAGGCTTCTGTCAATGATGCTCCACCGAGAAGTGAGGGCGCACTTCACAAACAACTCCCGTACTCCAGGGTTAAAGGGCAAGCCTATTTTTGAAAGGGAAGTTTACTTATAGATCCTCTTTAATGATCCCTTCCGGGGTAATATTTCACTTAGTAAAGGAGGTGTTAAGATTATCAACTACTTTTAAAGAGTCGGTTACACATTTGATATCTGTTAGCTCGCATAGGCTATTTCTATTTAGTGCCATCCCACCACTATCAATTCCCCATTCTTCTCAGCTGTGCTATGTCTTCACCTCAAACCACCATTCTTAGTCACTCCGCCTCTGTCTTATTGCTGCTTTCCTTCCTTGTAGCAGCTAGTTTTCTCTTTATCAGATAGAGATAGACCACATCTCTTCCAGTCAAATGGGAAATGAGACAGACTGGCCACTTCACCATAAATAACCTTTAATATACACACCACTTCTGTGCAGGTTAAGGACACTGGAAGACCTGAATAATAATAATAAGCCTTGCATTTGATACAGTGCCTTATTATGTCATTGAGGCGTCTGAAACAGGATATATTGTAAAGTGGATTGACTGTGTATTTTGTGGGTGAAACACAGCAGCCAATTGCACAAAGCATTGTCCTACAAACAGCCATGGAGTGAGTGAACAATTTTGTTTTTGGAGGGATAGGAATTATCACTGACAGAAAACGATTTGGTAATCAACTAACATCCACATTCCTACTTGCTGCTACATAAACAGAGGTGTGTGGAGTAAAGAAACTTGCCTACAGTTTTGTCCTGCCTGGGAGTCAAACCCGGGTCTTTTCGCTTGGGAGGCGAGTGCGCCAACCACTATAAAATGGGAATCCTCAGTGTACGCAACTGAACACTCAATTGTTTTGTAACTACCTTGCTGGGAAAATGAAGGGAAGTGCCCATGATGTTTATGGCCTAAAGGGAGGAAGCTTGAGCTGATAGGGATATTGAGTGTGTATGTGGGGAGGGAGACGGCGGTGGGCGGTAATCTAAAACAGAGAAGACATAACCAGGGAGGAGAGTGTCAGAGGCAGTGCCATTGATCAGACATGTTTTGAAATCCAACCGAGAAGTGAGAATCTCGAAGGCTGTCTTGGTGGGGAGTTCAGACGATTGGTATAGGAAGGAGAGAGATGGACAGTAGAGACATGGAAGGGGATATATTGGAGGCATGGAGTGTGTAAGGGGTGAGAGGGCTTGAATTAGTTTGTTCCTGTGTGGTGCGGGGGGTGGGGGGGGGGGGGGGACAAGGAGGAGAGAGAGGGGGGTGAAAATGCAGAGAAAGGCACAACATTTGGCAAAATGAGCAGTTTGGCACATTACGGTAACTTCGCTTTCTTCTCCCAGCACAAGACGAATTCTCTAAAGGCAAGTGGTCAAGACTTGAAAACAATGGCAATATACATCTCAAACTTATATAATACGATCCATATATATTTATGCCAGCAAGTCACCATTCTGCACACTATCCCACATTCGTATTTGTCATGGTGGCAGGTTGGTTGGTGTATTGTATCTGTAAGCATTCAACTCAATGAGTTTGGGCTGGGACTTTACCTTTAACAGTGGTGAAATACACACGTTTTACTCCACCACCCGGAGCAAGTTACTTTCAAAGTCTTTCCGCGTCTGGACTGGCCATTGCAAGTCCACGTTAATTTCCCATTACCATCGCTTTGCTTTCACTCCCATAATCTCTGCATTTGCACCCTGGGAGTGTAGAACATGCAATAACTCCGCATATTATAGTTTCCACGCTCTTTTTTTTTGACTCATGACACAATCTGTTGAACTGACCCCCCCCCCCCCCATCCCCACCTCTCTCTCTCTCTCTCTCTCTCGCCCTATTGGAAAAGCATTAATTTACATGTGTTTTTTTTTCCTCTGGTCCGTCTTAAACCTCTTTTGGCTCTCTCTCTCCCTCCCTCCTCCCTCCCTCTCTCTCTCTCTCTAGCTATGTGTACACATTAATCTCTGGGGCTGTTGGCACACTGCCAGTATATGTGTTGTCTTGCATCCTTTGCATATAGTAGAATCCTTGAGCTATTGCAGACGCAACCAACTGCTCCATATTTGGCTTATGTTACACACACACACACACACACTTGCAGAGAGCTGCTGGAGGAGAGAGAGAGAGACAGAGACAGAGAGCAAGAGCGCTGTCTGCAGACAGACATTACTACAGAACTACAGCTCGACTTCCTTCAGCAAAGACTCCTGCCTTTCCTTATTTCTGTAAGTCTTTATGCCTTTTTAACTCTTCCCACAGCTTTCCCACCCTTTCTCCCTGACCGCCCCTTGTGTCTTGGGTCTTTTCTACAGTGTGTGTGTGTGTTGTGTGTGTGTGTGGTGTGGGGGGGGGGGGGGTTGTGTGTGTGTTGTGTGTTGTGTGTTGGGGTTGTGTGTGAGTGTGTGTGTTGTGTGTGTGGGGGGGGGGGTTGTGTGTGTGGGGGGTTGTGTGTGGGTGGGGGGGGTTGTGTGTGTTGTGTGTGTGGGGGGGGGGGTGGGGGTTGTGTGTGTGTGTGTGGGGGGTGTTGTGTGGTGTGTGTTGTGTGTGTTTGTGTGTGTGGGGGGGGGTGTTGTGTGTGGGGGGGGGGTTGTGTGTGTGTGAGTGTGTGTGGGGGGGGTTGTGTGTGTGTGTTGTGTGTGCGGGGGGGGGGGGGGTTGTGTTGTGTTGTGTGTGTGTGTGGGGGGGGGGTTGTTGTCTCCATACAGTAGTACAAATCCGAAAGATCTGATTGAGAAAAAGCTGTGAACGTGTGTATTTTGTGGCGAATACGAGGTGCGCACTGTAGTGTTTTTGAACCGAGCGACGCTGGCGTTTTAAATGCGCTGCTCACTGTCCCCCCCGTCCCCCCCCCCCCACACACACACACACACACACACACAGCAGTCAGTCTGCCTGTGTGTGTGTGTGTGTGTGTTTGCAGGAGCTGCTGCTCAATGAAGCCGGGGATCCTGGTGTGCGGTGTGGTACTATGTTGTGTGGTACTGTGTTGTGTGCGCCCGAGAGGGAAACTCGGGGATAGAGAGAGAGAGCGAGAGCGAGAGAGAGAGAGATGGATAGAGAGATAGAGAGATAAATACATCTCGCAGAGCAGAGCAGAGAGAGCTGAGCCCGTGACCGGTTAATCAGGTCACCAGGAGAGCTGTTGGCGGCTCCCACAGGCATTGCGTAATGCTGTTCGGGGCAGAGCGCTTGTGTGGACTCGGCGACATCTCGGCGACATCTCGGCGTGTTTACACACGCGGGGGACGGGACCCGCGTGAATCCGGGTTTTCACTTCGCTGTACAATTTATCATCTCAGCTGTTGAGTCACCGCATCAGGAGGCAGACTGTTATCGTGATGTTGGGGAGGGAGGGCATCAGTGCTGTACTTCCCCCTACGCACAGTCTATGCATTTCCCATTTAAACGCAGTTGGCAGCTCAGTGCGGGGTTTACAACATGCAGTACAGTGGGGGGTTAGCACATGTTATTCTAAGTGGATCTCCCCCCCCCCCCCCCCACCACACACACACACACACCCACACACACACCCCACCCCACACACACCCCACCCCCCCCACACACACACACCACACCCCCCCCCCCCACACACACACACACACACACACCCACCCCACCCCCCCCCACACACACCCCACCCCCCCCCACACCACACCCACCCACACCCCACACACACCCACCCCCCACAATCCCCACACACCACCCCACACCCCACACACCCCACCCCCCACATCCCCCCCACACCACCCCCCACACACACCCCCCCCACACACACACCCCACACACACACACTCCCCCCCCCCCCACACACACACACCCCACACACACACACCCCCCCCACACACACACACCCCACCCCCCCCACACACACCCCCCACACCCCCCACACACACACACCCGCCACACACACACACCCCCACACACACACACCCCACACACCCCCACACACACACCCCCCACACACACCCCCATCCCACCCCCCACACACACACCCCCCACAATCCCCACACACACACCCCCAACCCCCCCCACACACACCGCCACACACACCCCCCCCACACACACCCCCCCCCACACACACACCCCCACACACACACACACCCCCACACCCCACACACACACCCCACACACACACACACACCCCCCACCCCCACACTTCTCTGATGGCCAAACGAGTGAGTGGTATCTGCTGTGGACTTGGTTGGTAAATCCCCGCCCCCGTTGGTGGAAAGCCAGACAGAGGCGCCCCAGAAAGGCTCCTCCCGCGAGAAATGGGGGCATTGATACAGGAAAAAAAACACACACACACACACACACGACACGGTTCGTTTATGTCTGAACCGACTCCTGTGGAGGGAGCGACAAAAAAAAAAGAGTGTGGGATCGGGTGACGAGAGCCGCTTGAAAAAAAATAAACGTTTTAAGAAACATTTGCCGTCCGTCCCTCTGCGGCTTCACTCCTGTACAGGAATGCTGTTGTTTCCACACAATACCGCAGGTTGACCGGGGGGGAGGGGGTGGGAATGGGATGGGGTGGGGGGTGGGGTACGAAAATGTGTGCGATGTGCCCTGTTTTCCACTGAGTCCGTTAATACTCTTGAGGTTTTTCGGAGTCTGAGCGACTGGATACAACAGATCATGAATGAGAGTGATAATACTATGATGATTTCCAAGCCATCGATTGCATCAGTGCTGACACACACACACACACACACAAGTCAGCGAACAGAGTGGGTTTTGCAACAACAACAAAAAAATCCCACGTCCAAATTTTATTTTGCTGCGTTTCACAACCGGCTTCAGAGCTGCCCCTTTTGCACTGAATGACGGCTGTGCATATATATATGTGTGTGTGTGTATATATATATATATATCTCTACAATAGTGTGTCTCCATGTGCATCAGAAGCGGTGGATACGCGGCTCTGGGTCCACAGTGCACGTAGATACATGTTGTTGGCGTTGGGTTTCACTGCACTCTCCCGGACCTGATCAATCATGTAATTAGACCGAGTTGCCGGGGCAACACACGTTATTTATCTGTTCATGGAGAGGTGCGTGTGTTTATCCTGTGTAAGAGCTGGTCTCCCTTCAGCACATTCCGGGCTGTATGGACTCGCATTACCTCTATTGGTCAGGTATTGTTTTTCAGTGGAGAATAAATGCGTCTCTTCCAGTCCCGGTCCCCCGGTGATCGATGTTCTGCAGCGTACGGTACGGTATTGCAGACGTGTTTCCTTTCCCTTAGCAGAGAGCAGCGCAGACTGGGTCTCACGACTGTCTTATCTGCCCCGGTGTCTGGGGGGGGGGGTGCGGTTGGCGAGGGCGTGGGTGCGTGTACGTCTTTCCGACGTGAAGGACGCTACATGCGAGTGTAAGTTGTAGTGGAAGGTGTGTGTCTGACAGGGTGGTGGGTGCGGGGGGGGTGTGTGTGGTGTGTGTGTGGGGTGTGTATGGGTGGGGTGTGTGTGGGTGGGGTGTATGTGGGTGTGTGTGTGGGTGGAGGGTGTGTGTGTGTGTGTGTGTGTGGGGGTGTGTGTGTGGGGGGGGGGATGGGGTGGGGAGAGTTCTTGGGAGTCGAGAGTGGGAGATGCTTTGTGTTTGTGTGTGTGTAATGTTTGGGTCGGTGTGGGGGGGGTGTTAGTGTGTTGGAGTGAAGGGTAGATATGTCTGTGTGGTTTGTGTTGTGAGGGGGTGGGGTGGTTTGTGTTGTGAGGGGGTGGGGTGGGGTGGTTTGTGTTGTGAGGGGGTGGGGTGGTTTGTGTTGTGAGGGGTGGGGTGGGGTGGTTTGTGTTGTGAGGGGGTGGGGTGGTTTGTGTTGTGAGGGGGTGGGGTGGGGTGGTTTGTGTTGCGGGGTGGATGTGGTTTATTTGGTTGTAGGGCTTGTGTTTCGGGGTGTAGTGGTGAGGTGTGTGTTGGGTGTGGGAGCTGTGGTCTGTTGTGGTGGGTGAGGGTGGGTGTGGATGTGAGCTGTAGGTGGATGTGGCTTGTGGTGTGGGGGTGTAGGGTGGGTGTGGTTTTCGTTGTGGGGTCACAGTTTTTACTGTGTGGGAGGGTAGATTCAGTGTGGGTTTCTGTTTGGCTGTTGCGAAATACCTTGACAGCCTCAGCAAGGTGCTGCTTCCGTGACGTACGTCTCTGCGAGTTGAGGGCGGGGGGAGGTGTTGGCAATCCGGCTCCAAGGTGACATATTTCGAACTGGAATGTTGGAGTTGAGCCAGCCCTCCGCGGCGGTCTTAGTAGTCCGGTTGCTGAGCCAGGCGGATTCGTAGTACTCCAGGCATTGCTGATGATAGCACAGCCAGCCTGGCTCATCAGCAGGACTTAGAAGGGCAGATCAGGACTGAGTGAGAGGGTATCCTCCCACTCAGTAATGTATTGGACAATGTGCATTTGGTTTAGTCCAAAGACATATCAGTGGATTCTTACTATCATGTCTTACTTTTCTTATGAGAAAACGCTGGTGATCTGAAATGCAATGGACCCATCCTTAGGACTTGCTGCCTCCCCAGTTACTTCTCCATTCCTCTCGCCCTCCCTCTCCTTGCCAGAGGATCCATCTGAGGAGAGCAAACTTGTCCGGTTGGGGATTATCCAGTGTGAAAGCCAGCTCATTTGGACTTTGATCTCCTTGTTTAGAGTACAGTGCTGCAGTGTTATAGGTAATAGGCTGTCTGTCTGCTGAATATGTTTGCGGCTTTCAAACACTGTCATTTTCTACTGTGTAGTGGCAAATTATTACACTGAACATTATGTCAAAGAAAAATGTCTGGAAGTCCATTTTCTGAATGAACAGCCGTGCTGTAACAGTACGTTTTTGAGTCCAGTTGTGACAAATCACTTTGATGGCATCAATTTCCCTTTGTTTGCCATTGAAACTTAAATGATGCAATTATTCAATTAGTTCTTTTTATTTAGTTAATTTGACACCGGATACCTTTCTAAAGGAAGATATTGGTCACAGTAGTTTTGTGTGGTTACTCTATTTTCATTTAAGAGCAAGAAGGACCAATTTAGATAAATACACCAAAATCTAACTCTATATGAAACATTATCCTAATTGGATTTGCTCTGTTGGTGGGTCAGATTAGCATAAAATGGCATAAAAATAAAGGTTCTGAGAAGTGTATACAAATCAGGCAACCACTAACATGAAGGCAGTGACGTTATGTCCAATTAAAGTGATGAAGTGTGGCTGCAAGATGGGGTGTGTCTCAAAGGGAAGT